AATGCTAAATTGTATAACAATAGTTCATAGGTCAAAATAAAACTCATGATAAGGGGGACATGAATATGAATAGTTTAGTTATTTAACATTTATACAACAAAAATATACGCTAGATATAACATCATCTCACTGTGCTAATGCAGTGTACCAACTTGGACAGATAGATATATTAACTAAGTTCTATCTTGCTTATGACTGACTGAATAACTAACAACTATCCCAACTCTCCATTCTGATATATATATATATATATATATATATATATATATATAATTACTATCATTCAATATTATTTACTTATATCGGAGGTACTTTTTGGTATATACTTTTTTCTAAAAAGTAGTAGAAAACATTCATTTGACACTAAGACCATTTCGTATTCCATAGTATTGGACAATCATGCTTCTATTTTCAAATAACTATCTCAAAAATCTTGTTACATATAGTCAATTATTATCATTTTAGTGTGTATAAGTTTCAAGAAGACATTTTTTCAATCGACATCATATCCTCAAGTTTGTTGAGTGACTGTTTTTTTTAACTATGAAATAACTAACGACATCGTCAGTTATAAACTAACCAACCTTCCTGTCAACTAGAGTTTTCTTATATGATATAAAATCTATTTTATACTTTAAGTATTTTTCTATGCATTTTAGTTGTTCTGTTACCTGACTCTAATAGTTGTGCTGTTATAGTTAGGAGAACCAATTTCTTAAGTAAATGTCTTTTGCTTTCACTTTTAAAGATATATATATATATAACTTCGTACGTACGTACATCAGTTCGAGTTGCCATACCACATTAGCACAGAGAAGCAGTTGTTCATTCAAATCCCATAGTGGTAGAAGTAGTGAGAGTATAAGCAGTAATCCGAAAGATTAGGGTTTGAAGATGTTATTCAAGGAGTATTATCCAGTGAAATAAATATATGAATTCCCCTATCCCTTAGATATTTAATAGTTTACATTACGGACTATCTGAACAACAATCGAAAACCAGTGAGCACCCCTTAATCCATCGGGGATCAAACCTAGGACCTCCAGGTCTTGCGTGGAATACTTGATCTTTAGACAATTAAGCTGACATCTAGTGTACATATTTAATTTAGTAGTTTGCTAAACTTCTGTATGTCTGACTTCAATTTTTGTTAATATTTAAAGTATACTTACTAGATTATCGAGATCGTAATGTTGTGAAGTAACGAATTGAGGAATCACCAGTTCATTATACTCCTAAAAATGAGATGTTTTTACATTCTATACAAAATAACAAATTCGTTTATGTGAAAAAATTTCAATTGATACCTTGTTAATTTAAATTCTCTTTAATTTACTGTATACAAAAATTTTAAGTTTATACTCTTTCAGAACAAAGGTTTTTCATTTATTCCAAACTCAGTTAGTAATTTTTATCATTGCTCTTTTCTTGTATACAAGCGTTCTATTTTAGCATCTTCGATACTAAAGTCTGAGTTTGTTCAATCTCCGTTAACACATAGGGTCCTTATGTAATTGTGTGCTTCAATATCCCCTTTAATTACAGGTTTCATAATTCGTTGGTAGCCGCTAACCCTTTAAACGTAATCACTAATCTTTGCGTGTTCCAATTAACCTATCGTGTTGCTTATTTGCACCTTTTTTATAAAAGAAAGTTTGATGTCAGTGATATAAAACTTTGTTTTCGGTTATACTGTCTGGAAGGTCCATCTATTCAACATCAAAACATCACAGTCTGTGATGGTGTAAGCTTTATTTTTTCGTTATTCAAAAGTATCTTATTTGTAAATTATCTGTCATTGTCCTGTGGGATTCGTATTATCTGATCAACACAGTATTATTATTTGTTAGTGGTAGTAGTATTTCAATCCAAAACCTTAGTAAATTTTGTAGGCATTGGATAACACGCAGTAGTCATTCTAAAAAAAGTAAAACAAAACATACGCGTTTATCCATCTCTGCTTACCATGCTTGTGAATTAAGGCTATATTGAGGCAATACGCACAGTATGCACATATGCCAATTAGAGACTGACCAGTTACAGTTCTAACAAATCGATGGGAAGATTCAAACAAGCAATACTGAATAATTTTAAAACATACGCGTTTAGTTTGTGCATATTTCAAAATTTTGATAGCGTGCAGTGTTGCTTTTTGTTGCATACGTGTATATAAATCACATCAAAATAACGTCCGAAAGTTCTAATGATTATGCTCTTTTGAACTCGATAATTGACCTTATATGCCATTTTCTAGGTTATATTCTCTATGGATTTGATCTCAGTCAAAGGTACCACTGGTGAATAACTACTTCGTACTTTATATGGATAAAATCCTCCGAGAGTGAAACGTATGTCGTCATTACTATCAGATGATCATCTCGCTATAATAAGTATTATTAAAGTTGTCAATATGTACCATTGGATCTAATAGTTAAGCCCTCCTCGAAAGACTTAGTTTTAATCACTAACAGAGCTATGAGTACGGCAGTGCACTGCTAAATAGTTCCATAATAAAAAGAGCAGTTATTTTGGTCATCTCTACTTCCCACCAATAATTCAAATAAAACCAATTCGTGATGAATGCCATTTAAACATTAAACAGATCTCTCACAAAATCCCTGCATAATAATTATATCCCTTCTATTTAACAATCACTCTTTAGCAAATCCACAAATTAATTAGATATAATCAGGTCAAAATAATTCAGAATTAGTTTTTTATCAGAATGGGGGTTTGTGAAGATTGTAGTAATTTTAATAGCTGAATTCATGAGTTAATTTGTAAGCTAGACCACCAGTGAAAACCTGGAAGCAGTAGACGGCCGTTTTGTTCTAGCATAGGACTCCTCAGCAGTGCTCATCCACAATGTGTTGAACAAGTTAGAAGTAATTTTGATACTATGAAATTATTGTAAATAATAGACAATAAGTTTTAAATAAATTCTATTACTCAAGCTATTTCAACATTTCTATGTAAAATCTTATGTAGTTTTAAAATGTATACTCTGAAATCATCATTTATTAATTTAATCATGTGCTCAGTGGTGACTAGCTTCAAGATGAATTTCCTGAAGTTCTAGTGATAAGCCGTGACCAATGGAGTCCAATCAGTGTCGGGTGGGGACAGTTGTCCATTTCAGACAATGTATGAAAAGTTGCGCAATATCATGGATTGGTTGAAGTTAGACATTGACACTGTTAGATAACGGCTCAGTGATCTAGTGATTAAGCGTTCGCGTACAATTTTCTTTAGTAATTCTGAAATATAGTGTTTGGTTAAGAATGTTAAGTGTTATTTATGAATATAATGCCGAGAAATTAAAGTAATCAGCTTTTTAAAGCCAAACAATATAAGAATAAAATTGGAAGTCGAGATTAAACAAAATTGAAGTTGAACATGTAAGCCACTATTTGTAGAGGTAAGCTCAGAGTGATCGTAAAGTTCAGCGTTAGCTGTGAGACCTTCAAGTCTTGGGTTTTATGCCCAGTGGGATGCTGAGTGTGTAGTCGTCCCATACTAGGAAGAAAAAGCAGATATTCGGTACTTTTACATCAATCGATCAGTCTGTGATGCAAAGTATAAAACCGAGAAACTTTTGCCAGTTGTAAGTGTAATTAATTAGGAGATCAGGGAAAATTAAAAGGCTGCATAGATTTTCTCTGTATTGTTTTTAGTTGGTTAATCAACCATGAGGGATGATGCTCAAAAATACGATGATCTATTTATCTAGTTGTGCGCCGAGTATATCACTGGCTCCTGAGGAGCAGTTGAACTAGTGAATACAATATCAGAATCCACTGTGGGATCTTTTCCTCTCCTCACTAATATATATTGATTCTTTTAATTAAATACGCTACCTAATTTAGTAAAATTTTGAAGGGACTTTCTTTTGCTTACCTGTTCTAATTTTATCGAATATTGATTGGATCAGATCTTGGATAACAAAGATTATTGCTTGGTATTTTGTTTGTTTGTGTTTTTTTTGTCCGAAACTCGAGTCAAATCGTTTTTTTTTTTCACAAATTTAAAGTATGTGATCTCATATGGAATTAATTAGTTCATTTTTTTTGGTTACGTTTTGTACGTTTGGGTAAACTCAGGTTAATGAAATAATAACACGTGATACATTGTTATATACAGTCTATCAGGTGATATACACTAGTTTTATAGCTATGATCACATGTTTCACCTAACAGATACATACATGTAGAAATAGCTGAAAGTTTAAACTATTGTGTAGAATATGTCCTTGTGTTTTTTTTTTCAATTTAATTGTCATGAGTTTAATATTTCAAAGTAGATACATCCCCTTCCTCCCCGAAGAAAATCCTTGTAGTGATTTTCCTAACAGTACAATTGATATCTTTTTAAAAAAAAATTAACACAAAAGCACATACTTTATCTGAAGGTAATTTTTTATTATCTCTAAATAAATTTTCCTGAAGTGTATGATTAAAAATCACGAGATAACTATATTTTATATTGATTTTGTTCAATCATTCCCACATACATATAGACTTTCTGATGTAGTGGCTAGCAGACTACCTGGTTGATGTCCATGTTATAACCGCGATTAACAGTTGATGACGTTAGGTAATATGGTTCAATACCAGTCACAGTAGGATAGATTTATTCATTCTTTGTTATCCGTGAGATCGTGAGATTTAAAATAACGTTTTCATTACTTTTTATTTTGCGAGTTCATTGTTGCTTTACGAATCATATTGTGTATGCTTAACCTACTTTACCGTCATTGACTTACTAGTATCTTGATGTCTTTGTGACAATTGGAATCAAAGTACGTATATGCCGTATTATACGTTGCTTGTGATTGACTGACTATACAAATGGTATCATTGATATTAACCCTTATATGATAAAGACTTTTGTCAGAGATATTATACTAATCCTTTCTTTTGGTTTCATATATATTTGAGTGGTATTTTTTGTGTAGATTAATTCATGTACTTACTTTCCGATTTTTTTTACAAAAAATTCAGACAATCGATTTCGAGTCACATTACGTCATAGTGGTGATGGCAGTAAGCTATTTCAAGGTCTTCAAGGCAGTTTGCATGTACAACACTGGCGGCTGTGTTTAATAGGTGAACCGTCAACTGGATGTAAATTTATCTGTAACTGGCGACTAGATCATGTTGATAAAGCATATACAATGACAATGCCTGCTCAAAGTGCAAATCAATTGTTATCAAACAATAGTAATAATAACTCCACCAGTACTTCTACTACTATTACTGCTACGAGTAATTCTATGACAGGAATCACCAATAATTCTACGACATTTGGTTCAGCGAATTTAACAACACCTGCCTCTTCCATATCTTCATCTTCGTTTAATACTGGTAATCCATTAAATTTAGATCATCATAGAACTGGATTACGAACTGGATTAACAACAATGTCTACAGTGCCAACAGCAACATTAATAACATCACCAAGTACTACTGCTTTCAATAATCCAAACAAATATTTGTTTTTCATGGAATGTAGTCCAGCTTCAGGAAAAGGTAATCCATCATCTGTATTTTTGTCCACTGAAAATGAAACAACATTTTCATAATACGATATCGTTATTTTTTGTCATGTTAGAGTCGATGAGAGGTTTGGTTCTCATTTTATTTGTGTTTGTGTATGAGATAAAGAGAGAGAAGTTAATTTTTACAACAATATGACTTTACAAGCTCATAAAGCATTGGTTCGAGCCTGTGCTCCATATTAACTAAAAGTCAAATATTACTTCAGTCAGTAAGCCAACGCTTTACGTTAATTAAGAAGATTTGTTAACCTCATCTTAATCTGTATACGTCCTGTTAAAGACTGTGAAAGTTGCTTTAATTAACTTTGCTCATGCAAATATAAAGTATAGTCTGTTGAACCAACTACTTACCTGAAATACAATTGCTCTAACTACATAAAATCATTAGATATCAAGATAACAACTCAAGAGATCAGAATTTATACTATTTGTTAAAAACCTTAAATTAAAGATGAGTTCATTAATAAATATATCCTCAACTGTTGTTTTTTGCATATTATTTAGTATACATTAAAATACTTAATCCTGTTACCCCTCGTGGAGGAGCATAGGCCGCCCATCGGCACTCTCCATCCAACTCTGTCCTGAGCATTGTTTTCTAGTTGTTCAACCTTTTGATGTCTTCCTCCAATTCCCGATGCAATGTGTTCCTTGGTCTTCCTGTTTTCCGTTCCTCGTGATCCAGTTTGATGATTTCCGTGATGTATGTCTTATCCACTTCCAGTGTCTTTTCTCAACTTCTTCTTCAGCTAGAAGTTGGTTTGTTCTCTCCTACAGTAGGCTGCTAAAGATAGTATCCGGCCAACAAACATTAAATCTCTTGCGTAGACAACTTTTTATAAATACTTTGTTAGTCATGTCTATAACTATCCAATTAAATCGTTGCTTAAGTTCCCACCACTTTATTCTGGTCTGATGTGTCTGTCATCTATCCCTGTTGCATGTGACCTACCAATTGAAAGACATACTTACTTACGCCTGTTATCCCTCGTGGAGGAGCATAGGCCTCACACCTGCATTCTCCATGCAACTCTGTCCTGGGCAATCCTTTCCAGTTCATTCCATTTGTTATTCATCCTTTTCATATCTGCTTCTATTTCCCGTCGTAATGTGTTATTTGGCCTTCCTCTTTTCCACTTCCTTTTCGTTTTCCACGTTCGGGCTTGCCTCGTGATACAGTTTGGTGATTTCCTCAGTGTATGTCCAATTCATTTCCAACGTCTTTTCTTAATAATTTAAGCACACTGCACGCAGTCATATGATTAAATAATTTAATCCCATCCAACTGTTTATCGTCTTGTAAAACGGTCATGGTCTGTAGAGACTATTCAAATGATTGATATATTTTTGTAAATGATAAGCTCCAAGGTCTTAATTGATTGGAGAATGAATGACTCTCGAAAAATGATTTCTTCCAATAGTCTACAATATTCACTCATGTTTTTTTTTTAATATTTTACATATTAGCATATTTTATCACATAAAAAGTCTATTCAACTAGAGTCTTGTCTAACGATATATTTTCAGTTGAGGTCTTATATCAGTAATTCAGTCTTGTGAGAAGGAGCATTAACTCGATTACTTTATGCTGTCATTACATATTATCTGTCAATAGGCATCCCATTCATTCTCATGGTCGATAATTCTATCATCAAATCGAAAAGTCCCACACAACAATTTTTAACGCAAGTCGCTAATGCACTTATTAGATTATATCTAAAATGAATATTTTCTTATGCGTTTGCATTGCTGGATATAGCCACTTAAAGTTGTATGGGAATAATTTTAATAACTTTTTGGTTGGAAGTAATTTTGATAGACATTCGACCTGTCAGTCAACTATAAACCATGCAATACATGGGATATATGTGCTTCGGTTAAATTTGTCATACCCCGTATCAGCACAGAGAGATGAAATTATCATGACAAAAGGCAGATCAGTAGTAATATCGTCAATGACACTGTAAAACAGTATGATTCGAAAATAAAGAAGGAATCCATTAAATAGAAAAGTGTAATATAATTTAGAAATCCATGGTCCAAGGGAAGATGAAGAATCATTACATATTCACTATTTGAACTGATTTTAAGCCATGTAATCTGCATCAACCACTTCATCATTCTTTGATTTCATGAAGTGTAGCCATAATTTGGTTTGCCCCTTCCTCTAACTTTCTTCCATATATATATATATATATATATATATATCTTAATATCTTATCTAGGTCGTGGTTCATATATTTTTGAAATTGATGGTAGCCGATTAGCTGAGTTAACAATAGCTATTGAGCAATTTACTGCATTACGTTATAATCCAAACTTGAAACCGGCTACATGTGCAGAAGCGTCTCAATTAACTGTTACAGCTCAATCTAATTTAGGTACAACAAATTTTGGAACAATTGATCGTTGTAATAAAAATGATAATTTATTTCGTAATGGTAACCCTCCAATATGTACAATACCAACTAATATTGGTAGCAGTGTAATTGATGATTTAGGCATTGCATCATCATCATTCTCATCAGATACAAGTAGTAATCCACGATCTTTCTCTCCAACCCATCATCAACAACAACAACAGTTATCGAAAAGGCGTAGTCGTGATAGTATTTTTAATCCTTTACGAAAAATATCATCTGGACATCATAATTTTAATTTATTTAAAGCAAATGATTATCAATCTTCAACAATAGATCGTCTTTTCAGTAAACAAACTATGTCACAATTCATTGTTACTACTGCCACTACTACTACTACTTCTACTATTAATACTGCTACTACAACCACTTCCGGTACTGAACAATCATTAGTTCCTGTATTACATTCTAAATATAGTTGGAATTTCCAAAGAACGTCATCTTTATCTCCTCCAGATATGATTGTTAATGATTCCATATTGGATAGTTATAATCCTAATTCATTGTCAAGATGTGATCATTTACATGAAAATAGTTTTAAAGAACAATTTAATCTTAGTGGCGGTGGTGGTGTCAGTGTTGTTGCTACAACAATTGGAGTAACAACTAATGATAATATTCAAGAAGGTATGTTTTTTTACGTTATCATAGTTGTCTAATGCTTGTTTAACTCACATCTTTTCTTCTTATGAGAATATATTGGAAAGGTCCCCTAACTTTTGTGAATAAAAAATATATGGTTATATTACGTTTTTAAGCAATTATAGACTGGTTTTCGCTAGGTAGGTAAACAACCGTTGAGAATCAAGGAAATCCTGGACATTTGTGTTGTCTATGTATAAGATTTCTCTGTATCTATAACCCACAAAGTATTTCAAAATTCATGAAAAGTTTATTTTTTCTTTAGACTTTTCAATAAATATTATCAACAGCTCACAGTTTCAACTTTAATCACGCCGCAATGTAATACAAATATCATCGACGAATCTCAGTTACACTTGGTTCACAAATGACAGTTTTTTTAACCCCCACAAATTACGTCTTCTCTCATTACTATTACTTACAATTTCTTGAGGGTAGTGAACAACACAGATTTATTGTTAAGAAAAATAGGTTAATTATGAGTGTTTATGTCAAAGTTTTTTTTCATTACTCGATTCTGATAATCTATGTTTTTTGTTTAAGACTAAAACTTTCTCCTTTGTTATTGTTATTATTACACGAAATAAAAGCCATATACATTTACTCTATTTTGTTAATCACGTGTCGTTTTCTAAATAATGACTGTAGTAGGATCAATTATTAAGTTGTATACTCGGATTCAACTCACATGGTTCTCTCATTTGATAGCTAATCACATTAATATTTAAACTGCTGAAGTAGGTAAAGAGCAGTGGTTCAATCCTTTCAATCTACTGATTAAGTTTCCCTAATTTAACTATTAAGCCTTTTCTTACAGTTCTAAATTATCAGTAACAAAATAATTCAAACTCTTACTACTAATAGCGATGCAATCATTCATACGTGTTAAATATGTTTAATGAATATCTGAACTTTGTAACTCAATGGAATTAACATGTGTGTTAACATCTGAACCCTACAGGTATACTACTGAAATTCAGTACTAATATGTTCGACAATAATAATTTTAATTCTCAACTAGCCTAGTGGGATTACATGAGAACCAAAACAATGTTGGATTGATATTAATCTATCTTCTTGTAATGATAATAACCATTATCGGTGAGATTACAATTTGTGGATGACCTTTAAGCGACTCTAAAGTGATCTTGAGAATGCCCATTTACTAACTAGTTTTTAATGAAGATTATAAACTAGTGTGTAATTATGATTATGATTTACAGTGAGTGGTTAAATTTAGGGATAAAATTTAAGGTTTTCATCACGAGCTGACATCAGCTAAACTGCCAAAACTCTATTTGGCCAAATGAATGAACGAATGAATTTTCCACCGAAATGCAAGACATGTTATCTTAAATCTGATTGGATCGCTCATAAATTACAATCTCTTCTGACTATGTAATTGAAAGTTTTTCCCTTATTACATCGAGTACATATTACAATTTCATTGATTTAAGTAATATATATATATATATATATATATATATACCTCTTGTTTACGTATGTTTATGCACAATTTTATAAGTTCATGGAATAATATCTACATACATATATAAACAACTAAAAACTGATTAAATTCTTGCCCTTATTCAGCCATCCCACGTTTTGTTTCTTAAAAAAATCAGATCAATTTATCAAAATTTTTATGGCCATCGTTATTATTTTATTTGTCTGTAGCTAAATAGGCATTTCAAATTATGTAACTCTTCTCTGATATTGATCACAAGTAAACCTGGGATCTGAAATTTTTTTCAACTAAACTACACATGGACTGATAGAGGTGTTTAAATATTGTTAAACCTATAGATTCGTTTATTTTCTATGATTTTTATTTCTATATCAACAATCTGTAAATCACATATCAATCCCTAATATTTATTCCATTATGTATAATGTATCTATCGTGTATCATTTCTATACAATCAGTCAGTCACAACATCGAACCTAGTACGTATGTACATCGGTTCAACTTGTCATATCCAATTAACACACTGAGATGAAGTTGCCAGACCGGATCCCTGAATATTAGGTAGTAGCAGTATGAGTGGTAATAGGAAAGATTAGGGATCGATAATACTATTCAGAAAGAAAATACATTAGTAAAATAAAAAGAAAGTTGTGAGGAAATTAAAATCTCAGAATTTGTGGGAAGATAATGAATAGATGCACGTGCGATCCCGACATTATGGTTGAATATAGCAAATCAAAGATGGAAAAATTAGTTTAATATATATGTAAATATTACATGCATTATAAACTTTCCTTAACACATTTTAACATATTTAGATATGCTATTCCACGTCGATAATCTAGTGTCAATCTGTTTTTGTAATCTATGACCAGTTCGATACATACTGCTATCTCCTTATACTTTCTTTTTAAATGCTGTTGCTGGACTCGCGCAGCAGTTTTGAATTCATTTAAACGTTGTTCCTTTTTTGGGCACAAATAAATTTCTATATGTTTGGATAAGCGTCACCAATACGTAAGCTAAAGTCTTTATGTCACCCCTCTACCACATTGTTCTCCTTAGAAAGGACTTACACATCGGAGGCTAAATCAAACATATTCTTTCAATGTTCACTTTCATTAATTGCGCCCGTATTAGTGTGAACCTTTTTGTGATTGGTAGCAACTTCGATTAAATCAACTAAGGTATTGAATTATATTTCTTACTAGATCTGTGTAAAATAAAGCTATCCTACTTGTATCCTTGCAAAGAAGACTGAACAAAACTTAGTTCTTTACTGTGGTAATGGCTTTTAATTACAGAGTTTTTTGCACTATGTATTTGTGGTTCTCAGACTTTTTCTTGAAGAAAAACAAAGGAACAAAAAATGGTTCCATTCCATATCTTATATCTAACACTATTAATGTCTATGTTTATTATCAGTCAATCATCAATGTTAAAGCCTTGCACACAGATGTATTCCAGTAAATTATTACTTAACAGTTTCTATTTTCTCTTAATAATGATTTTAATAGCTAAAAAATATTTTGAACTAATCATTCCATAAATGATCAAATTATATATGCTAATTCAGAAAGAATGAATGTACAATATAATTTAGTATAACAAGTTTCAGACATATAACAGCACCATAATCAATCGTTTATCATCCATACAATGATTTACATTTGAAGAAATAACCTAACTCATCTATGAAGTACAAATTCGTGTAGTCAGCTGTAAGCCATCCACTGTTTGTGTGAAGATTAGATTTTAATCTTGAATGTAGTTTGTCGCTTCACTGATGTTGAACAATTAGATAATGCTAAGCTCAAATACTAATTTACTAAACTTTACTAAGCGTGTAATCTCAGTCTCATTTTCTGTTGTTAAAAATATTGTCGCTCTCTGCATATGCACTGAGTTACGTTTCTAGTTATTTTCTATTTGAATAATTTCCTCATATTTAAATCAACCCATTATTATTTTTTGGAAGTGACAGCTTCAGTTGCTACCTTAGGACATTAGTATTTAATCTAACATATCTTCCAAATCTGCTCACATATGATGAAAACGTAAATTGAATGATAATAGTAAGTCGTAGGATTTTTAAATAATGGCATGTCGATTGATAAAGGTTATAAAGTCTTATCATCTCTCATAGTTTGAAAAATGTGTTATACATCTCTTACCACCTCCTTTCTCAGCGTATCATACTTCCTGGTGTTGAATTAGGTCGAAAGATAGCTAGCCAGCAACCAAACGAAGAGGTTATCGGTTAAAGCAAACATTCAGGTTGTTAGTTTCCATACTACAATCTTAATCGTATGGTGTTAGGAGGCGTTAAATGGTTATATACTGTGCTATTTTCTCCTCGCTTCCAAAAAAACAAAATGTTATATAAACTAATCACCTAGAAATCAATTAAACTTTACCATAAATTATTCTAACTCATACTAATACGTTTTTGACACGGACTAACTTTGTAGTTTGGTTACCATTAAATCGCTGGAACTCTGTGGTCGTCACTAAGCAAGCTCATGAGAAGTTTAGTGACGTAATAAAATAAATAAATCCTTTCTGATGTTCACATTGATTTACTCTGTTAAATTTCATCTCATAGGCAGTATTAACTTAATCTATCAACTTTGAACGGATATATTCCTTGAAATTCAACTTTTTTCTCTTTATAAATCTCCAATACTATGTAAAAACTTATACTTTTAAATTTTGTTTTTTTTTGCCCACTATCAAGACACCTGTATTGCATTTGTTGTTATTATAAGTGAACAGAATAAAGTGTGTGTGGAGGAGAGAGAAACTGGTTGTATTGTGTTCCGTTTCTCAATTGTTTTCTTTTCTAAATAAATATTTCACTTAATCATCGAACACGTGCGTTCAAATACACTTGTCTAGTTTGAGTATTTCACCCACTATCAAATTTCTTTGGAAACAAGGGATTATTAAGTTTACCATTACTATAGACAAACTAGTTATATTGTTGTTTTCCGAAAAATGTGCTGAGATTTCGTCACACATCAGACCACAAGGGCTGTTGAGACTCCCAAGATAAGTGAAATGGTCGACACGCTCAGTTGCTTCATTTCCTACCATTAGTTTGAGTGTCGATGTAACCCAATCCAGGAGTAACACATTGTATTTCGAGTGGGAGAATCACGTCGATCATTGGTACTCCTTTTAGTGTAAAACATTGCCACAGAACCTCACGATCAACAGAGTCGAATGCCGCCTTAAAATCGAGAGATACTACGATTGTGGGGCGTCTGAATGTATGTCTATGTTCTAGGACCTGAAGTAGAATGAATATCTGGTCTATACAACCACGTTCAGGTCGAAAACCATCTTGGTTTTCTCTAGTCTGCTCTTCACGAGCTTTGGTTAGGCGACCTAGTATTATTGAAGCTAATATTTTAGACACTATATTAGTCAAACTGATTCATCTGTGATTGTCACAAAAGGACTTTTGTCCTTTCTTATAGACTGGCACAATCAGTGATTGGGACCAGTCAGATGG